AAAGCTGTCTCCAGACGTTGCCAAGTGTCCCGTGGGGAGCAAAGCCACCCCAGATGAAAACCTCTGCTCTGTCTTATCTCCTACTACCCCCAGCTCACTTCCACTGTAGCCACACTAAAACTGATTTCCTGAAAGTGTAAAGCTGTGTCTTGCCTGAGGGCCTTTGCACGTATTGCTTTCCTCTGCCTGGGACACTCCTGTGCCTGTTCCCTCCACCTCATCCTTTAGATCTCAGCTTAAGTTGTACTTTCAAGAAGACTTCTCTGGCTCTCCTAAGTTACTTAGATATGTTGTACCAACATCTTATATTTCCTCTCTCATAGTGCTTTTCCCCCAGTTTTACTGAGATAGAATTGACACATAGCATTGTATTAGTTAAAGATGTACAGCATAGTGATTTGATATGTGTATATATTGTGAAACGATTACCGCACTAAGCTTAGTTAATACCCATCAGCTCCTGTAGTTACAGAATTTTTTCTTGCGGCGAGGACTTTTAAGATCTGCTCTCTTAGCCACTTGCAACCATGCAGCATAGTATTGTTAACTACAGTCACCGTGTTGTGCAGCATCACAATGATAATGATGTTGCAGACAGCAGCCACCGATGGATACTAAAAGTAACGGGCAAAAATTTGTGGAGAAACGATTTGCATTCTCTCAAAGTATCTCCCCCAAGATATTTATTAACTACAAAGGGTAAGACAGTAACTTTACAGTAGAGAAACGTAGAAGAAACCTTCATCTTAGCCAAGCGATCAAGGTCAGCATCACCAGTAACAAGACATGTCAACATCATGAACCCCATGACATGATTCACTGAGAGTGACACACCATTGTTTTTGTGGTATTCCTGCCAAAAAGTCTCAGTTGGAATATGAGGAAAACATTAGGCAAACCCACGTTGACTGATATTCAACAAAATAACAGATCAGGATTCTTCAGAAGTGTCAAGGTATGAAAGACAAAGACTAAGGAGCTCTTACAGACTACAGGAGTTTAAGGAGAAATGACAACTAAATGCAACACAGGGTCCTGGATAGAATGCTGGAACAGAAAAAGCTCATTAGTGGAAAACTGACAAAATTCGAATACTGCCTTTAGTTAATAGTGTTGTGCCAGTGTTATTTCCTGGTTTTGATAATTATGCTACGGTTACATAAAATGTTAAGGGAAGCTGGGTAAGGGATATACAGAAACTCACATCTTTCTGCAACATTTAAGTCTAAAATTAGCTCAAAATAAAAAGTTTTAAAAAATAAATAAAAGTCCTACTGACAAAAAAAAAAGTTAGAGCTCCAAGCTGGAAAATTACTGAGGCCGAACCCAAGTCTGGAATTATTCTTAGCTTCCAGTCCCAGGATGGGGATTAGAGTCAGAGTTGAGGGACAGGAGAAAAGGCAGAGAAAGTAGTTTTTGACACTGAGCCTTCAGGTCCCTAGAAACACAAAAAGCCAAAGTAACCCGGAGTGTTGGAAGGGATGCACTGAGTCAGAAATCAATCAGGTGGTGGTGAGGGCATTCAAGAAGTGATGAGAAGGAGACAGGGAATAAGAATATGAGAGCAGACCTGAAGGAAGGTCAATGACAACATTAGAATTTAAGTAATGCAAATGCCAGTCATGATGTAAATTAAATTTTTATGTCCAAATGAGTTCCAGATATTCAAAGCTGCCTTTTCTTTATGTGAGATTAGCTTAATCCTGTCACAGATTATTCATTGAAGTAGAAAAGACTCTTTAAAGAGTGAAGGCCTGGGACTTTTAACACAAGCCTGACAGGTTTGCTGCCATTCAATCATTTGATTAAGGCCTTTGATGAGGATTTTGCTTAGTTGTATCATTTCTTGTGTATAGCTTTAAATCAAAACCTTTTTATACCCAAGGCGATACTGACCTCCAGTCTTCTTTTTTTTTTTTTTTTTTTTTTGGTCTCTATAGTCTACAAACCTGGCCTTTTTTTTCCTCCCTCACAGCATTAATCTAAAAGTTACTCACTGTCCTCTTCAAAGAATTACTACAGTTTTGGTTATATTAGATATATTTTGGATAGAATTGTTTTAATCAAAAGTATAGAGATTTAACATAAGGAAAATGTGAGATGGAAAAAAAGTAATAACATAAGAAAAACATAGCTGAAAATGAAATTTCAACAGGTCATTGTGAGAGACAAGAGTTCACCAAGCAGAAAGGTTTTACTTGCTGATTTATTGAGGGTGGACTAATTCTGAACCATTTCCAAGAAGTTGTAATAATAGTGACTGAGTATGGGTGGCTGTGATGACTTCCTCAGAGCTGTAGGGAGTGATCTATTATCCATCACTGAACACTAGTACAATGAGAGAATGCAGGAGAAAACTACATTCCCAGACTTGTTTCCTATTTGCATATGTAGGAAAAGTTGTAGATAATGTCAATAGACAATTTAAGGGGAAGTACCAAGTGTTTTTGACAGATTGTGTGTACATTTACATACTATGTAGCTGCTTTGAAATGTCTAGTAGATGGTCAGTTCTGAGTCAAACTACAAATTTCATGAAGATGTTGAATGGTCTTTCTGCCTGAATTCTTCAGAGGAATCGAGATTTTATATTTAGAATGCCTAAAAATTTTTTTAATTAAAAGAAAGAAAGGCAGCCACAGAAGGGGCAACTTTAGCAATGATCTTTGTTAGATAAAACCTCATACAGCCAAGAGCGCAGATGATTTTTAATGAAATCAGTAAAAGAACCCTCTTCCTAAATTTTAGAATTTTTATCTTCAAACTCCTATCCCGTTACTTTAGGTAAAGGGTAAGTTACAGCTGATTTGCTCAGCTGTGCTTTGCCTCGACATGTGAAATCAATTGAGGTAAAATATGATGAAAGTTCATATTGATTCAGAGGTTTGCTGTTTGCTTTTTATAAAGTGGAGATCTGTGTCCTTGTGGGCATAACCATTGACATTCACTGTTCATTGAGAGCACAGATGGATTGCTGCCAAGTTTTCTCTTCGGGTTCCTTATGTTGTGCTTAAGGTCGGTAATGAATCTGTCTACAGAAAGGAGTGGAGATTTCTAAGTACACCTCCTCATTTCCAGTTCCACACTGTGCTCAGACATCATTGCTTCACTCACAAGCAATTCCTATCCTCAGCTTAACATGTGTAGTAACATTTCCTGTTTTGTTCAGTTTTCTTAATGCTTAATGAGAACGATTTCAGGTGTTTTTTAAAAAGTGACATTTCCAGCATTTGGGTTTTTGTTTTGTTTTAATTTATTTACTTATTTATTTATTTTTGGCTGCGTTGGGTCTTTGTTGCTGCGCGTGGGCTTTCTCTAGTTGCGGCGAGCTGGGGCTACTCTTTGGTGTGGTGCATGGGCTTCTCCCTGTGGTGGCTTCTCTTGTTGCGGAGAACGGGCTCTAGGCACATGGGCTTCAGTCATTGTGGCACATGGGCTCAGTAGTTGCGGTTCATGGGCTCTAGAGCACAGGTTCAGTAGTTGTGGTGCATGAGCTTAGTTGCTCCCCAGCATGTGGGATCTTCGCAGACCAGGGCTTGACCAGTGTCCCCTGCATTGGCAGGCGGACTCCTAACCACTGCGCCACCAGGGAAACCCCAGCATTTGTTAAAGAGCTAGATTAAGTCTTTTCAAAGCAGAACACTTTCGTGGATGACTGTTCTCTGAGAGATGGTTGAGGAGCTGGGGTCCCAGTGGTATATCTATGCATGCTCCTAGGGCAAATTTCAAATGCCTGTAGTTACAAAGCCAGTAGCTGAAAAGGAGAGGGTATACAGAACCTTGGTGATGACCGTGATGTTGTTGGAGATGATGTGATGAAAGAGGAGAAGGAAGGCAATGATGATGGTGGTGGCGGCATCAGCTAACATTACTGTGCGCTTGTATGTTCTGAGCACCATGTCAATGCTTTCCATACATTCAGGCTGAATCTCTCCTGCAGTTTCTTGTCATCTGCACAATCCCATCACTTTTGTAGGTAGTACTGAGCCAACAGAGTGGTCTAGATTAAAATCACCCTCTGCACTTGACCTTGAGGCAGAGGGAACAACCAGAAGGTATAGAGCGAATCCTGTGCAAATTCAAACAAACAAAAAAAAGAAAACAGGGCTTCCCTGGTGGCGCAGTGGTTGAGAGTCCGCCTGCCGATTCAGGGGACGCGGGTTAGTGCCCCGGTCCGGGAGGATCCCACATGCTGCGGAGCGACTGGGCCTGTGAGCCATGCCACTGAGCCTGCGCATCCAGAGCCTGTGCTCCACAACGGGAGAGGCCGCAACAGTGAGAGGCCCGCGTACGGCAAAAAAAACACGCAAAAAAACCAGAGCTTAAAATTGCAGGTTCCAGCCTGACAGGCCAGACCGTGAACGGTATTAAGATGCATACATTTTCTAAGTTCTTTGAATTTAACACCTGCATCTGACAAAAATCTCACTCCTTTTCTGCTTCCTGTTATCTAATTCTGATTCTCTCTGGGTGCTCAGGAAATACTTAGTGAGAATTCTTAAGTCAGAGTCATTTTATTTTTTATAAGATGTTTATAATGAAATTGTAATTTTTTAATAATTTTTAAAATATGCCTTAGGAGCATATGTTTGTTGAGTCTAACATATGGTATTTCTCTGGTTATTTTATCCCTAATGCTTTGTTACAATATCAGACTCTTTCCTCTACTACTCTATGCTGAATAAATATTAGAGAGATTAATATAAATCTTTATTCTCAGGCCTGCTTCCTATTTCTTAAAATCCAGAGGGAAAACTCAATTTGTATTTATAAATTTTAATTATGAATTATGATACCATACATATACAAGAGAAATATTGGGTCAAATTTCTGATCTTAGATAAATCAGGCAGTTTCAAAGTTTAGCAGCTTTTATTTTTACTTGAAGAAGTTGAGGAGTGGGGAGACAGAAGACAGTGTTAGAGAATGATTGTACAGTAACCATGACTGTTGCTCTTGCTACTGATAAACCTGTCTGTGTTCTCATCTTTCTTTTTTAGGTGGTTGCCTATCACTATTGCCAAGCAGATAATGCCTACACCTGCCTGGTGCCGGAATTCGTCCACAACGTTGCTGCCCTGCTCTGCCGCTCACCGCAGCTGGCGGCCTATCGGGAGCAGCTTCTCCGGGAGCCTCACCTACAGAGCATGCTGAGCCTTCGGTCCTGTGTTCAAGATCCCATGGCCTCCTTCCGGAGGGGAGTGCTGGAGCCCCTGGAGAATCTCCACAAAGGTACAGATGAGGTGCAAAGCAGGTGGAAGGTGGAGGCTCTGAAGCCCAAGTTCACCTGGGGTCATGCTATAAAAATGATCATTTTTATCACACTGCAAAAACTAAATGTTCCTACAGGATACAGTTAACAAATAAGAGGTTTTACCTGAAAAAATAAAAATTCCTCCAGGAATTGCTACTTCCTCCTTTATTTGTAAAAATTCTCATTCTTATTTCCAAATATAAAGCATTTCTCTTGAACTAAAGGTAGTAGAGCTACCAGTCCTTCCGTGGAGTTCAAATAAATCAGTAAAGCCATGACTCCAACCCAGTGCCGTGGAGTTTCTATGGTTAGAAACATCCTCAGTTTTTATATTTGCTATTTTTTTTTATTACTCCACAGTCAGGTAAAATGAAATGGCATGTAGAGTTGCATAACTGTATATGCTAAAAATTACTTAATTGTCCACTAAAAGGTGTTAAGATATTTTTAAGAAGTGGGGGAAAATGAAATGGGATCCATCCCCCTCTCACGCCTCGTGCCTTTCCTCCGTTTTAACTCTGTAGCTCAAGTGTCGGCTGTGACCTAAATGTAACCATCTCCTCCTTCACCCGTCTCTCTGCCTCACCCCCTTCCTAATGTTCTGTCAGTGCTGGAAGCCGAAGAAAAGGACCTGAGTAAGCATGAGATTGCTGAGCAATCCTGTTTATTCCTGAGAGACTTATATACTTTTCTCGAGCATTTCAGAGATACTTATAAGAATTTACATTCTTCCGGCCTCTATCTTCAGTTATGTGAACTTCCATGCCAGTTACTTGGATATCAGAGTTTCTCTTCTCAATGCTGATGACCTCTATCTGTACTTCTACGACCTACCTATTAGCTTTACCATACCCTAGACTTTTTTAAACATTGGAATTTCTCTGCAAGTATTTTGAGCAAACTTAAAAAGAAATTTCTGTACATTCAGTCAATCTTTAAATCCTGTTAATTCTGCCCTCCTGATGTCTCTCACATCCGTTAATCTCAGAGTCATTCCTACCACTGTTACCTTGAAGGCTGCTCAGCTGCCCATGATATCACATCTGTGTTGCTACCCTTCCTGGTCTTCTCTGGTTTTCTTTCACATCATAAGACACTTGGAAAATTATTAAAATTTGTTTAGCACATTGGGATAAAAAATCATGCCTCCTCATGGCTGGACATGGCTGGCCCTGAGGCTACAGCTGCACAAATGCCCCGAGGCCCTGAGGGCTGAAGGGATTCATTTTTAGGCACACCTCTAACCCATTAATGGCATACCTGGTGGGTAGTCTCTGCCCAGTCTCTCCAGTCTTCTAGACTTTATGTACTGCTTCCAGATAAAGCTTCGTAAAGCATTGCTCTGATCACTAAATTTCCCTGTTCAGAAACCTCCAGTGCTTCCCTATTACCTCACTGAATTAACTTCCAGCTCCTTGACCTATCATTTAAGGTACTTTATGGCCTGGATCCAGCCTACTTCCAGCCTTATTATCTACTTTTACCATTATGAACCCTGTATTTACATGTAAACCAAAGTATCCATTAATCCTTAAATACTCCCCTCCATTTTCCTGCCTCCATACATTTGTTCATTGTTTCCTTTTCTTGATATACCTTCTCCTCATATCTCTACCTGTCAGAATTCTACCCATCTTTCAAGGACCACCTAAATACCACCTCATTCATGAAATACCTGCTGATCCGCCTGCCCCCTCCAGTAAGTTACAAATTGACAATAGGTTTTTCTTTTTTATATCTCACTTGTGGTACTTCATACATTACTGTATGTATAGTAAGAACTTAAATTTTTATTACTAACATTTATTGAACATTTATTATATGTCAGATATTATACTTTGTGCTTTATAAGAATTAGTTATTTCTGTACTTATCCCTTTGACTAAACTGCATGCTTTTGAAGTTAGGAACTTTTCTTGTTCAACTTTTATCCTTCATAGTGATTACCTCACCTTGGACATAGTAGGCATTTCAGGAAATAAATTTTGAACAAATAAGTGAACATAGAAACTGCTCACATGTAGGGGTACCTTGAAGGAAAGTCAGTGATACAAGGATCTACATCTTAAGGCTAATTCAAGGAGAATATCCAAATGCATGCAGACTCAGCTCTGGATTCTCAACCATAATTCATGTGTTTTTTAATTTTGCTACTAGATATATTTGCTTCTCATTTAGGTCTCCATAACCAGTTTTAGATATCCCCATTGGTAAATGTTGTTCTGAGTGAATTTAATTATTCTATCAAATTCCCATGTTCTTACCCTTAAAAGAAAATCACCGTCATGAGCAATAACTGGAAACACAATTTATAAAATTAATGAAATACTAAAACTTGTTTGATTAATCCAAAAGAAGCCTGGAAAGAAAGAACAGAATAATTTTTTTTAGTATGGAACAAGATGAGAGATTAAAATGAACCATATCAATAATTACATTAAATTTAAATAGACCAAATACTTGTATCAAAAGGCAGAAACTGTCAGACTGGATAAAAAACAAGACCCAACCATATGCTGTCTGCAGGAGAGGTTATTTAAAGACACAGATTGAAAGTGAAAGGATAGAAGAATATATACTCTATAAACATGGAGCATAAGAAGGCTGGAGTGGGTCTATTAATGTGAGGCAGAGTAGACCTCAAGACAAGGAGTATTATCAGAGGGGCATTTGATAAACATAAAGGGACCAATTTATCAGAAGATAAAGTAATCCTAAATGTGTATGAACCTAATAATGGAGGTTCAAAATACATGAATCAAAAACTAATAGAACCAAAGAGCTAAATAGACAAATCCCCAGTCATAGCTGGAAATTTTTTTTTTTTTTTTTTTTGCGGGGCTCGGGGGGCCTCCCCTTTTTTTGGTTTCCCCCTTGGCGGAGCACAGGCTCCAGACGCACAGGCCCAGCGGCCATGGCTCACGGGCCCAGCCGCTCCGCGGCACGTGGGATCTTCCCGGACCGGGGCACGAACCCCTGTCCCCTGCATCGGCAGGCGGACTCTCAACCACTGCGCCACCAGGGAAGCCCATAGCTGGAAATTTTAACACCTCTCTCTCAGTAGCTGTTAGAACAAGCAGACAAAAATTAGTAAATATACAGAAGATTTTAACAACACTGTCAACCAATTTGATCCAACTGACATTTATAGAACACTACCCAATAACTGCACAATATACATTCTTTTCAAGTGCATATGGACCTTATTCTGGACCATAAAATCAGTCTGAAATTTTCAAGAAATTAAAATCTTACAGAAAATGTTCTCTGAGATAATGGAATTAAATTAGAAATCAATACACATAAAATCCCCAAATATTTAGGAATTTAGCAGTGTACTTCATTAGAGAAAGAAGAAATCACAAAGCGAATTATAGAATATTTCAAACTGAGTAATACATAAAATCAGTGGTTAAGTTTATGACTTAATAAACTAGAAAAAAATGAGGAAAATAAAACCAGAGGTAGCCGAAAGAAGGAAATAATAAAAAGCAAGAGCAGCAGTCAGTGAAATAGAAAAAAATTAATAGTTAAAATGAATAAACCCCTAGGAAGACTGATCAAGAAAATGAGAGGAAAACACATCAGGCATGAAAGAGGAGCTAGCACTACAGTTCCTACAGACATTAAAAGAAAAATAAGGGATTATTATGAACAACTATATAACAATAAATTCAACAACTTAAATTGGGCAAATTCTATAAAAAACACAACTTACCAAAAGTGACTCAAGAGGAAAGAGAAAATCTGACTAGCTCTTATCTATTTAATTTGTAAGTTAAAAGAAAACTCCAGGCTCAGATGGCTTTACTAATGAATTGTATCCAACATTTAAAGAAGAAATAATATGAATCTTACACAAATGTTTTCAGAAAATAAAGGAAAAGAGAACATTTCTCAGTTTGTTTTATTAGACAAGCATTAATGCTGAAACCAAAATATGATAAGGACTTTATAAGAAAAGAAAATTACAGACATGTATTCCTCATAACCATAATAGCAAAATCCTGAAACACACTAATAGCAAAATGATTAGTTTTACTTGACCAGGAATGCAATGTTAGTTTAACATTTGAAAGTTAATCACTGTAATTCATAATATTAACAGAATAAATGAGAAAATCTATATTTTATATAAATATGTATCTATAATCTCAACAAATGCAGAAAAACATTTAACAAAATATTACAATTAACAATAAAAACTTTCTGCAAACTAAGAATAGAAGAAAACTTAGTCTCCTAAAGGACATGCAGGTAACGATGAAATATTAAATACATTTCCCCTACTATCAGGAGCAAGGCGACTTAACATTCGACATTCCATGTGTGGTCCAAGCTAGCACAATAAGAAAACAAACAAGCAAATAGTATAAAGATTGGAAAGGAAGAAGTAAAACTGTCTTTATTTGCAGATGTGATTGTTTACCTAGAACAGTCTAAGGAATCTACAAAAGAAAAAAAAAAGCCTACGAGACTTAACATAGGTGGAGCTACAGTCTATATGGTTAATATGCAGTACCTGTTGTATTTATATACTAGCAGCAAACAACTGAAAACTGAAATTTAAAAAGTAGTGTGGCAGTTTTAAAACATGGCTGCAAAATCTTTGACATTCCTCCCATCCAGATTTAGGGTCTGTGTCTCCTTCCCTTGCATCTTAGCAGACTTGTGGCTGCTTCAACCAATAAAATACTACAAAATGATGCTATGTGATATCTGAGGCTAGGTCATAAATGGTCATGCTGCTTCCATCTTGTTCACTGAAACACTTGCTTTTGGGGGTATGCATTGCCATGTCAAAAGACTGACTACTTTGAGTTTACCCTGCTGTGAGGAAGTACAAACCACATGGAGCAGCCATATGTTAGTGTTCCAGTTGACTGTTCTAGTCATCAGGTCGTTCTGGCCGTGACACCAAACATGTGAGTTTTTGTTGCAGATGATTCCGTTTCCCAGCCATTTGAGCAACTCTTAGCTGTTTGATGCAGCAGTAGATAACTGGAGCAAATACCGTTTTCTATAGAATCAAAATGCTTAAGAATAAATTTAACAAAAGATGTGTAAGACTTCCACAGTGACAGCTACAAAACATGCAGAGTGAAATTAAAGAACTTAGTAAATGGAAGAGATAGGCCATGTTTGTAGATTGGAGTTTTTCCCCAAACTGATCTGTAGATTCCACATAATCCCAATCAAAATCCCAGCAGGACTTTTTTTTTTAATTGACAACTTTCAGAAATTCAAAGGACTGTGAATAGCCAAAACACTCTTAAAAAAGAAAAAAAATTGGAAGACCAACAGTACTGGAAGACCAACAGTACCTGGTTTCAAGATTTAGTATAAAGCTACAGAAATCATGACAGGCAGTAATATGTTAGTAAATGTTTAACAATCAGTCCAGGGGTGGGGGCCTGATTTGACCATAAGAAATTTAGCAATCAGCTCCCATGAACCAGCTTGAGCTGGCTCCAGCACTCCCCTGACAGGGTGGTATTCCCACAAGGATAGATAAATAGGTCAGTGGAACAGAATGGAAAATCTAAAAGGAAATCCACACATATGGAGTCAGTTGACCTTCCTCAAAGATGCCAAGATAATTTGGAAAAGAGAATTTTTGTCATCAAATGATGCTACAACAACTGGATACATGTATGGAGAAAAAAATGAATCTTAATCCTTACCTCACACCATAGGTGCACAAAAAAAAATTCAAGATAGATCATGGTCCAGAATATAAAAGCTAAGTCTCTAAAGCTAAGAAAAAACTTAGAGTATCTTCACAACCTTGGGGTAGGTAAAGATTCCTTAGGTCCTAAAAATCATTAACCATGTAGGAAAAAATTAATAAATTGGACTTCATCAAAATGTTAAATGTCTGCTCAACGTAAGATACGCTAAGAAAAAGGAAAAGCAGATCACAAAAGGGGAGAAAGTAATTCACTCTGTGTACGTGTGTGACAAAGCACTTGTATCCATAGTATCTAAAGAATTTCTATAAATCATTGCTGAAAAGATAAATAATCCAGTTCTTAAATGGACAAAAAATTTAGATGCTTCACAAAAGAAGATATTCCAATAGGCTGCCAGCACATAGAAAGGTGTTTGCCATCGTTAGTCGTCAGGGAAATGCCAATTAAAATCACAATGAGACACCACTTTACTCCCGCTAGAGTGGTTAACATTTTTAAAGTTGAACATCAAATGTCGGTGAGGATGGTAAGCAGCTGGAACCCTCACACGTTGCTGGTGGGAGTTTAAAGTGGTACAACTACTTTGGAAAACTATTTGACAGTTCCTTGTAAAGTTAAAGATAAATCTGCCTCATGACCAAGCAATTCTATCCCTCTGTATTTACCCAAAAGAAATGAAAACATATGTCTACAAAAAGACTCATACAAAAATGTTTATATTGACTTTATTCATAGTAGTTAAAAACTGGAAACAACCGAAGGTCCTTCAACAAAAGAATACATAATCAAATTGTATATTCATTCGATGGATATTAAATGAAATCTTAGTATTAAATTCTCAGTATTCTTCTTAGTAGTAAAAAGGAAGAAACTAATAATACCCTCAACAACATAAATGAATCTCAGAAACATTATATCAAGCATAAGAAGCAAGTATAGTCTATGGTGATATGAATCAGAACAGTGGTTGCCTATTGAGAACTGCGAAGGAACCTCAGGGAACTCTCTGGAATGATGGAGACGTCCTCTACTTTGATCAGGATGTTAGTTACATGAGTATACATGTTTGTCAAAACTCACCAAAGTGTACAGTTAAGATCTTCACAATTAATTGTATTAATTATATATAAATTTTATCACAGTAGTTTTTAAAATAGGGAGTTTTTTAAAGGTAGCTGGAGTTTTCTTTCCAGGAAAGTTCAGTTGAAAACACTTTCAATTTCGATTCAAGAGCTAGATTTCAAATTATATATTTTTCTTTAAAAAATGAGAGTCAGCGTTTTGCACGATACTTTAAGGTTCTACTCAGTAACAAAGGATAGCTCTAGTATATCACCAAGCAGAATCAATTAGAAAATTCCTCTATGGGAATTAAAGACACAAGTATGCTAAAGGGAGCCAAGGTCCTCAAAATCAAGAACTTAAGAGCCCCCATTTGTGTGGGTAAATCCCAATTAGTTCCAAGCAACTCCTCTCTCTTCCGGAATTCTTTGGACTCCCTAAAGGAGTAATGTGTTTTCTTAGCCCTACATCATCTAGAATGCCATTTCATTAATAATCATTGTTAACAGTTAGAGAGCTGAAATCCATAGTTCATTTCTCTTCCGAAAGTCACCAGATGAAAGTAATAGTTGAAACTCTTTATAATTTGAGAACTAATTTATAGTACTTAGGCTATTGAAATTAAACTCCTTTATGTAAAGCTTGTACTTTAGAGGGGAAATATAAAGATTTATTAATCATGCAAAAAATCTGCATATTTTCAAATGTGAAACAAAAATATGTAGAGTTTTGATTAGCCTTGACTCTTTCAAAAGCTAAAAGAGCCAACGTGGTACAGAGTTCCTCAGAGTTTTCCTTCTGTCCCCAGCTTCACTTCCTTTTTCCTCCTCAGATATAACCTATTTCCTGTTTCAGGCATCCAGTGACTTCTTTCTCTCTTCCCCTGCTTTCCTCTCTTCAGAACCTGTAAGGTCCTACCAACTAGGAACTTTTACTTGTTATTTGCAATTCATTTATACTGAAATATTCATTCAGCCAGGGGATTTTTTTAATCTCTAATTGTTCAATATTGTTTAAGAATCAGTAAGCATTTAATGGGAATGGAAACCTGAAATCTTACCAAGTCTTCTGCAGCCTAGCCCTAACGATAAACTGATTTTGTCAGTTTAGGATAGTATAGACTCCAGGCGGGAAAGGGAAACAAAAGATTTTGTCTTTCCTACATGGCTCCTGCTCCCCTGGAAAGATCACGTAAGGGTCTGGTCTCCTTGAAGCTGCTTCAGGTATAGTCTAGGAAGCTGCTGGTTCTGTAAGATCTTGGAATCCAGCCTGCCTAGTGTAGATCTGTCTGTTGGTTGGGATTCCTTTTCTCTGTTCCTCCATCCCTTCCTTCCTACTACGTATTCACATATAGTCTTATATACTGCTGTGGACTCCAAATTAGACCTTTTTTTTTTTTTTTTTTTGGAAATTCCCCAAAGAACATGTGATACTGTTCTCTTTAATGCTGTCAGATTCCGGGGGGCTGAGGGGGAGAAAAACATTCTTTCCAGCTTTTTCAGGTATGAGAGAAAAATAAATTTACATGTGCAAATTCTCATAAATGCATTGCTCAGGCTGTCTCACAACTGATAACATGGGGGAAATGATGATGATGATACATATGCCTTATATATTATTTATGTGACAAACACATTCATACCTGGTAAAAAGCAAAATGAACCCACTAAATGAATTATTCCACATGTTTATAATAAATTACGTACCCTTAGCATTCACTAAACACACAACAGACCTTTTCTAATTTTTTCTTCCAAGGAGATATGTGATCAAAGACCCAGAAAGAACTCACGTATCCACTTGTAATTATTAAGTAATTTGTTTCTTTCTATCTCAGAGAGAAAAATCCCAGATGGAGATTTCATCATCTTAATTGATGGATTAAATGAAGCAGAATTTCACAAACCGGATTATGGGGATACAATTGTATCATTTCTGAGTAAAATGATTGGAAAATTTCCTTCCTGGCTGAAACTAATTGTAACAGTTAGGACCAGTTTACAGGTATGTGTTTGTTTGCTTTTGGACCATAAATTATTTCCCTTGGAGAGTTCTTAAACTGAAAAAGTTCTAGGTCCTTGTACCCTTAGTTCCAAATCTCTACCATGTCCTAGAGCGCTAGCAAGAGTAATTCCCAACGAGCATATTTTGAGAGTAAGAGATACAATCTAGAGAGAGCATTCTCTGTATACTACTCTCTTAGCTCAAATTCCCATTTCCATTGCTCTGGGTAAGTTTTGATAAAGTGTCCCTCAAAAAAGCATGAAAAGAAAGTCCACTTTTCTAGACTTTGTCATGAGTATAGCAAAGCAAATAGATGGTGTAACACTCTAATTCACTGTTTGACTTTTGTTTTATGTTTTTTATCATTTAATGCCAGGCAAAATCCAGTTCAATATACAGTGTAGAGTCAGATTTTCTAGTTCTTCCCTCTGTTTCTCAACTTTCTATAGCATGAAGATGGACTTTCTTCTATATATTTCTTTTTCTAAGAAATATTGGCAATATTAAGGCTTTATATTAAATTTACTGCAACTGGGAGATAAGAGTTATTTTAATTACCATCCCTGATCACTCAGTTTATGGCCTAGAAGAATGATTAGGAATGTTGGAACTGTGCCTGTAAAAGACATACAGGCTGAGGAGAAATGACTCCACCTTCTCTACCACTCACAGTATAGCTGAGCTGGTATTTTCCATTCTTTACATATTCACACTTGGTTTGAAACAGGGTTTCTCAACCTTTTTTCCCCTAACCATAGCCTCTTTTAAAGAACATTAAAATTTTGCATATTATACACCCATCCCACTATTTTGATGCAACTCCCTTAAGACAGTTGTTAATATACAGAAAATAGTCTCGGTGCCCTCCTTTTCCCCTCTCCCAGGCATTTAGTATTTTTCCTATAGATTGACCACTTTTGGTCAGTCTGCCTTCTTTGATCAAAGACTGTACTTCTGATCCTGACCACCAACTTGCAGATGTTTGTTATTAAAATCTCAAAGTAATTTGAGGAATGTGAATGAATCAACGTAAATGCATCTTTACAATTAAAAATTATGTAATCCGCCATTACTGGTCAGTAGCTTGTTAAAGATGAAAGATGAATAAAAGAAACTTCCAGGAACACAGTCTCTGACTAGTTTTACTAAGTACGTACTTAGGAGATATCTTCGTTTATATAATTTTTGTTTGTTTGGTTTTGGTTTTTTTCTTCATTTATATTTTTATATAATGCCGTGTGCAATCTCAAAAGACGTTTTAAGTATGACTTGGTAGACCACGTAACTTTAATTTTTCAGCTGTGCCAAAGAACAGGAAAAGTACTATACACTCAAAGTCCAAATGTCAATGTCTTCATAGATCAAGACCTGCAACAACTTCCCAGATACTCCATTCACTTCAACCAATAACTTTTTAAAATTATTTAGCTGACAATGAAACAATTCCTAGGTCTTTAAAAGTGAACCCTCATAATCGATCATTCATTATTTCCACAAACATTTTTTACATACTTCAAGTATAAAAGGCTCTTTCTAAGAGCTGAGGATACGATGGTGAACAAGACAGACAATATCCCTACCCTCATAAAGCTTGTATTCTAGTGAGGAACACAAATAATAAAGTAAAAAATGAACATATATTAAAAATTTAGGTAGTGTTAGTGCTATGAAGACAAACATAACAGCGTAAAGGGGTAAATGAGGATGACATATTTTAGATAGGGCAGGTGGGAAAGGCCTCTCCAAGAAGCCTTGTAAAGTGATAACATCTGACTTACTTTCTTTGGCTGCTGGCTGTGTAGATAATAATATGTAGGGGATCAAGAATGGAAGCAGAAGTACAGGTGAAAGGTGATGGTGGCTTAGACTAGAGTGGGAACAGTGGAGACCCTCTGAAGTGGTCATATTTGGAGTATATTTTGAAGAAGAATCAAAAGGACTTGATGATGGGCTGGATGTGGGAATGAGCAAGAGAGAAGATTCAAGGATGAATTGTGGGGTTTTGGTGAGCAACTGGGTAGATGCTGGTTTGAGGAAAAGAGAAGGATCATAGATAGTTCCTACGATTTGGTGGTAGGGTTAGTGGTAATACCATTTATTGACATGTGGAGGTTTTGTGGTGGGGGGAGATTTTAGTAGTTCTGATTTGATCACACATTAAGTTTGTCTATGAAACATCCAGGTGTCATTGTTGAGTAGACGGAGATATAAGAGGAGAGCTCAGAAGAAATGACTAAGCTGGAAATATGAAATTAGACATCATCCATGTATAGATGATATTTAGAACCATGGGACCCAACTATTCTAGGGAGTGAGGGTGGCCAGATAAGAGGAAAGAATGGAGACGTGAGCCCTGGGTGGACTGAGAAATGAGAGAGGAGCCAGCCAAAAAGGCTGGGTAGGAGTAGCCAGTGTGCTAAGAGGAAGACGAGGGGAGTATGCTGTGGAAGCAAAAGCTGCAGGAGGGGACTCGAGAAGAAAGATGTGTTCACCTGTGTCAGATACTGCTGAGAGGTTGAGGGGGAAGAGAAATGAAACTTGGTTATTGGATTTGGCAAGATGAAGATTGCTGATCATCTTGGCAAGGACCATTTCAGTGAAGTGACGAGATTGAAGCCAATTGCAACAAATGGAGGAGAGAATGGGAAGGGAGGAATGAAATACAGTAAGTAGAGAAAACTTTTCTGTTAGGTTTTGCTAAACATGGGAACAGAGATATAGTAGTTGGAGGGAGGAATATGGAGTCACATGTCTGTGTGGAGACAAGACAGAAAGAGAAGAGAAGAGGAAATTAATGCAGGAGAGGGAATAGATACTTACAGGAGCAAAGTCTATAAGCAGATAAGAAAAGATGGATTCCAGAGCATGAGAGTCACCACAAAGCCCTGTCACCTTCCCCCAATGTAATTTCCAAGCAGATCACCAAGGTACCAAGCGTCCCACTATTAGAAGTGTTCCTTTGGGCTAAGGCATCTCCAAAAAACCTACATTAAAATAAAGTCATTTTATCAGGTGGGATAGAAGGTCACATTTTTATATGACATTCTTTAAGTCCTTTTACATTTATCTTAGTGAGTTGTACTTTGACATTAGGCTATGGTTTACGCTGAGAAAAATTACAACAAAAGTTAGATGGCATTCTCTTTTCTATTTTAGGAGTGAGTGTTATTTAGGATAGTGACCATTAAATCACTCCTAAAGTGCCCTTTATGAAGACCCATAAAAGTTACTTTAAGTCTCAATATTAGGAAAAGTGTCCCTCCTGTGCAACTAATATGTCTTAATCTATGGACACTAATACTCGATCGTATTTCCCTCTTTTCTTTGACCACTCAGAAGTTCAGAATAAATTTGTGGACCTCGTAGTTTATCACAAGAGTTAGGGGAAACTGAAGGTCTTTCTCTCTCTCTCTCTCTCTCTCTCTCTCCATCTGTTTTAGGAAATTACCAAGCTGCTGCCTTTCCATAGGATTTTTTTGGATCGACTAGAAGAGAATGAAGCCATAGACCAGGACCTGCAGGCTTACATCCTGCACCGGATACACAGCAGCTCAGAGATCCAGAATAACATTTCACTTAATGGCAAAATGGACAATACTACATTTGGCAAACTCAGTTCTCATCTCAAGACACTCAGTCAAGGGTCCTATCTATACCTGAAACTCACATTTGACCTCATAGAGAAAGGCTATCTAGTGTTAAAGAGCTCTAGCTACAAAGTAGTTCCTGTTTCGCTCTCTGAGGTTTACTTACTCCAGTGCAATATGAAGTTCCCAACCCAGTCTTCCTTTGACCGGGTGATGCCTCTCCTGAATGTGGCAGTGGCCTCTCTCCACCCACTGACTGATGAACATATCTTCCAAGCCATCAATGCTGGCAGCATTGAAGGCACGCTAGAATGGGAGGATTTTCAGCAGAGAATGGAGAACCTCTCCATGTTCCTAATCAAGCGCAGAGACATGACTCGTATGTTTGTACATCCTTCTTTTCGAGAATGGCTTATCTGGAGAGAAGAAGGAGAGAAAACCAAATTTCTCTGTGATCCCAGGTAAGCCATAGATCTGTAATAAGCAATTTGTGAGCCTATTTTGTATTTATTGCATGGAGCATGGGTATTGAAAACAGTGAGAAGTGTTCTTCATTGAACATTTCACATAAAGGAAGCATCATCTCTGTTTCTTCTTAAGACAAGGCTATGATGAAGTTTATTTTCTCACAATATTATTTCCTTAAGACTCAAAATCTGCATAGATGTTTAGAATGCTCCTTACATTCCTGTATTTTTCTAAACAACTTTCTCTGATTCCACTAGGGTTCACAGGCTATAATTAATTTTTTTTAATTTATTTATTTATTTTGGCTGCGTTGGGTCTTCGTTGCTGCATGCGGGCTTTCTCTAGTTGCGGAGAGTAGGGGCTACTCTTCGTTGCGGTGAGCAGGCTTCTCATTGCGGTGGCTTCTTTTGTTGCGGAGCACGGGCTCAGTAGTTGTGACTTGCAGGCTCTAGAGTACAGGCTCAGTAGTTGCGGCGCATGGGCTTAGTTGGTCTGCAGCATGTGGGATCTTCCCAGACCAGGGCTTGAACCCTACTTTGGCAGGCGATTTCTTAACCACTGCGCCACCAGGGCAGTCCCCAGGCAGTAATTAATTTAACCATTTAACAGACTTCCTCAGTATTCTTCAGAAAGAATTGATACATTGTTCACCTCTTTGACTTAGAGCAGAATTGTTTTAAAATTGTGAGTGCCCTTTTAAAAGCCATGCCATTGTTAAAGTCACCAATGACTGACCCCATTAGAGCCCAGCTGATGCTAAGATTTACAGTGGAAAATGGAATCTTAACACCTTATAGCTGAAAAAGACTTGAGGAGATCAGCTGATTTAGCCACTCTTACCTTTAGATAAATAAAGTGTCATTATCCCTATTTTACTATAAAGGCCTTAAAATGCTGAATCACTTGTGAAAAGCCATAAGGTTAACAGGTGGGAGAAAGGAAGAGGAGTTAAAAGAAGAATGGCAAATGCGCTGTGTGTACCACCGCTCCCCTATCCTGCACCCATGGCAGACGTCACTGATTTACCCCAGCACTCTCTCCTGATGAGCTTGACCCTGGCTTAATCTCTCTCAGCTCAACAAACCAGACTCGATATGAAACTGTTTCCCATTCTCTTGGGTAGAACCTAGATCTCTAGCATCCTAGTGAGGTGTGCTTTCTACTCCTTCACACTCCTTTTTGAAAGAACTGTTCCTTTAATAAAGTTGATGTTTTCAAAAGCAGGTATAGTCCTGATTTCCTGGAAACAAAGAAGATACCAACAACATAGCTGACAAACGCAGAGCTTATTGTGACTCAAAAAGAAGATAGGCCAGGTTTGCCTCTGCCTTCCGCTGTGAGTCATCAGAGGCTGACCGTCTCTGACCGTGCTGGGATTTTATTATTACTCTTGAGGCATGTTCTTCACCAGGTCCTGTTAGAGACACCTGTGCTTGTGGGCATGCTGCTCGGCCTACGTCATGCTGACTCATTAGAAAATCAGTTCCAGACTCTGATGACGATATTAAGCCAGGCAGTAGATTTTGTGCTGTCTTCCCTAAGAGGGAAACTTTTTAAAGAAACATGCTGTAGTGGAAAGAACATAAACGTTAGAGTCAGATGACCTGCTTAATAAATCCTACCTCTTCGAGGAACTGTGGCCTTTGGAAAATTACACAATGTTTCTGAGACAGTTTTCTCATCTACATAAAAGGAATAATAATTCCTAGAGCTGTTGAGAATTGAGGTCATGTAGTGTAGTGCCTAGACTAGCACAGAGTACGGAGAAGGTGGTCAGGGGATGTTCCTTGTCCTCCTCTCTCTTTGCAGTAATAGACCTTTCAGGTGCACCTTAGCTAAATCCTATGGCTGATTGGATAGGCAGCAGGAGTCTTCTGCTATCCGCATCTGGGGGCACAAGATTTTTTTTAAAAACCCTGGGTCTGAGTCTCTTCTATGAGTTGTATGCCATTCCCAAGAGGATTTTATTGTAAATCCCACTAGTACTGCTGCTGATGTTGGTACACAGAGTTGGCAACGACATAGTTAAGAAAAAGAGACCAATCTAGAATTGCCTAATGAACACTGAAATCAGTTTCCAGAGGAACTTTGCTGGCTGATCTGCTCTCTTATCCTGGAACGTCTCAGAGGATTGAGAACTGAGGTCCAAGGGAGCCAGAAAAACGCTGAATTAACAGTATCCTTACAACAGATAAAACCCTCAGGCTTTCAAAGGGAAAAAGATGGTATTTATGCAGCCATATCATGGCTCTACAGGCTTACCTTCTCAACATTGTTTATTAACTAGAATCATTTTGGCAAGAGGCTGATGCGCTGGGACAAGGAGAGCAAACACTTCTAACTTCAAATGCCGTGTAGTCTGTTCCCTGGTGATTGAATAACACTCAGGGCTGCTGAGGGATCATCGTTTATCACTTAATGGCAGAGAGTAAACAGGACCAGGCATTATCAAAAAAGCTTTCTTACACGTTTCATCTCAGTTGGAATTCAGCCTTCTTCCCAGCACTGTCTGGCACCAGCTTTGTTACTAAGGTATTGATCTCAGAGCTCGAGGCCCCCTGGGTCAATGAGATGGAAATTCACTAAGAATTTAATGTCACTGGCAAAGCCCAGGCTGGCCTTTCAAAGAAACTGGCTGTAATTGCTTTCCATTGTAGGCGAGTCTGATTAGCAGGACTCCCTCCAGGCAGGGTTTGCCATTATGGCTTCAGCCTCTATTTCCTGTACATTGTTTCCCACTCTGTTCTCCACTTCATCTCCAGCTTCTCTCTAGAACATCTAATGTGGTTCAGTAGACCAGGGAAGACTAACTCAGTGCCTCTGAAGTCACATTATGTAGGCCAGTGCCTGACATGCATAACTTTGTGTTAAGGAGAACTTTCAGAAGCTACAGAACATCTCTTCTAGTCCGTTTTCCTGGGCTTTCAACACTCACGTCTTCACCCTGAACTTATTGACCTTATTAGGGAATTAGACACCGATGAGAATATTCTACTGAAGCCAAAAAGTAGTTGACCTTCATCAGAAATAGGCCACCCAGGGAGGTACTTCTGCTAAGTGAAGAGAGTCAGTAATCTGAGGATGGCGCTAGAAAGAGGAAAAAGCAGAGCTGGAGGTCAGTGCAGCAGCTGAGATAGAGTTTTCCTTATTTTAAATATCAGATTTCCTGTTGTCGCAGAATCAGGGCAGACAATTGACATCCCAGAAAGAGTGACCTAAGGTTGCATACACGTCTGTCACAGAAAGAAATGAGTTATAGATACCTTTTCTTGGCTTGGTATTTGTATATATATGCATGTTGGTGTTTATCAAACTGTAAGCAAAGTATCACTGCAAAATCTTTTATTACATCAAAACTTCTAAGATTTTAGATTTACATTCTAGATGAAAGTTTGCCCCTTGAAGCACTCATAAGCCTTAGACCTCACCACCTTATTCTGCCTTCTGTTTCCCACTATTCATCACTGTCATATTCTGTCATACTCTGAAACTAATCTTTCTCATATGTTATTCCCTCGGCCACTGAGCTCTCAGATTAACTCACTAATCTAATAAACTAATCTCTGTTGTTATGCTCATAACAGGGAAGTAGAAAACATTAAATGCAACTTGCGTATTTTAAGTAAGGCATTTAAGAGAAGTCACCAGCCTTTATAATCCAACCTATTAATGACTTTGATAGTTGAAATGTGAGGCTGGTAGAGTAGACAGTCGGGGCCACCAGCCTTGTGGTGCTGTCCAATTACTGCCTAATATTTCTACATAGCTTTAGGCTAGCCCTGAATGAATCCCCACTCTTTTTTTTCCTGTTTCTTTCCTGTTATCTCTGTTTTCATGGTATTAGCCTCCCCTTCCCTAAGAACAGCTCTCAGATCAACATTTTGATGTGTATATACATGTAAGATTTTGACATAGAGATTCAAAGACTCAGCTGCCTTATTTTTAACTGTTTGAATAAAACGCAGGAAGCCTGTTGTAAACTTTAACGAGTCTTAAGCTGTAGAACCAATGAGGTTTGATTTGGAAGCCTAATTTGAGCTGGCCTGATTTCCTCAAACTAAGAGTAGCAGATTTATAGTGGGTGGAAAAGGGAAAAGGCTACACAAGTCCTAACTGTACCTGTGAGGACAGTTGAGGACTTACTCAATTCCTTGTGGCCAGAGTTGATATCTTACAATAAATGTTCTTTAAGATTTTTCTTAATTATTTTGGCCATATTAGCAAATTACACATTGGAGACTGGGTGCTCCAAAATCCATGTCACAAAGCATAGTGTCAGAGTAGAAGCAGTTTGTCAAAGGGAAAAAAAAAAAGAGGCCATTCTCCCTATAAAGGAAAACTAATTCTGTGTCAGGAACTTGTACAGCCTGGCTTCTTAAAGAATACGTAAGTCTGAAATGACCACAAAATGGTGAGTTGCAGGGTTGTGGTGGTTTTATTTGTTTTTGTTTTGTTTTGTTTTGTTTTTTGCGGTACGCGGGCCTCTCACTGCTGTGGCCTCTCCCGCTGCAGAGCGCAGGCTCCAGACGCGCAGGCTCAGCGGCCACGGCTCACGGGCCCAGCCGCTCCGCGGCATGTGGGATCTTCCCGGACCGGGGCACGAACCCGTGTCCCTTGCATCGGCAGGCGGACTCTCAACCACTGCGCCACCAGGGAAGCCCTGTTTGTTTTTTTAATCCAAACAGGAGCCTTCAGGCAGAACGACACTTAACCTTACCCTCACTGAAGCACGAACTTGAGGTTACTGCTCCTCAGCCATTGCAGGCTCCCACAACAACCCCTTGAACTGGCAGATGGATTTTGCTTTCTAAAAGCATTAGGAAAGAATTCAGCAAAGTGATAGATCGTGCTAAGAAAAAAAAAGGCTTCTGGAACTAAGTCAGCCTTTAGGAGGTTTGGAAGAGTTAATGCAGAGAGAGGAGAGGTGTACCAAACACCTTTTGCTAGTACATGTCCCTTAGTAGATGACGTTACCTGCCTAGAAATATTAGCT